CAGCAGCAGCAGCAGCAGCATCGCTATTATTGTTATAGAAAATGTAAAATAGATTTTTAAAATGTAATATCATCAGTGTTATTGTTAAGGTCTTCTAATGGATTAAAACAGCTCTCTTTGCCAGCTATATGAATGATCAGGAAGCGGGGGAATTTACAAGACAATCTGTTGTTTTTGCTTTAATTTGGGCCTTTAATGTCGACGCAATTTAGGATTTACAGGAGTCGGGGTGCTTCAACCTAGCATGTCTAAGCCAATCCGGACTGAGAGGGATGCAAAGCCCCAGCAGAAAGACAAAGGTACTCGATAAAAGTCCCTCCCCCCCCCCAAAAAAAAGAAAAAAAAATCCATAGAAAACGAACTCGGGTTTTGAGCCTGCGACGGCGAATCGCCTTCCTACCACACCACAGACACCAGTTGGGCTGTATACCCTCTCCTTGTCAGGACTAAACCATGGTAAGTGGGATACGACATTCCACAGTCATGAATATGCACGATAAATTTTAATTACGTTGCCCGACACTGGAATCGAACTCACGACTTCTTCGTACAACGGCAAACAGACAGAACCTTTACATCACAAACACGGTCAGAAATCAAGTGTGGACGATCGTTTGTAAGTTGGGAAGGAAAAGAAAGTTGAACGTAGAATCGGATGACGGGGAGGGAATACAGGAATTATTATGTAGTCTTGTTTTGATTCAACAGGCAAACTCTCGCTTGGTTATGTTTGCTTCGTCTGTGCTTACGGTCTTGACAACTGGCCATCAAGAAGGTTTCGTGAACGTTTTGGCATCTCTCTGAGATGACTATGAAGACAACCTGATCAAATTTCAGCCTAGCCTGTTTGCGGAGAGCACCATAAATAGCAATTTCTGTTAAGGGAGAAAGTTGTTTAACCTTGACCTTATACATAATAAAGCATTGTTGTAACTGGAGTTGTTTTACGCCCCCATTGACATAAATCAGAATATTTAGGAAGCGAACTATTTCCTGTCAGGGAGAACCTTAACTCAGAGGAATATAACTTCCAAACACATTTTTTAAACAATCGAAGATATTCGATAAAATCTTTCCCTTAATGGATATATCGAAGACACACCTTCTGCGTGTGATAATGAAACACTTTACCACCACAGCACATCAGCCAGTATCTTAAAAAGTGATACTTTCCTGTATTTTTATCAATTCATAACACTACTCAATGTTCTTTTTTACTCCACATTATTTTGTGTGCTCTCTTTTGTTTTTGCCTTTTTTTGGCTTTCTTTTTTTCTTCTCGTCAGCCCCAAGTCCCTTTTAGCTTTTTTCAAATGGTTTGTATAATATTATGTTACGTCAGTCAATGCACTGTGTTGCTGTGCTGTGATATGGAACTGGGTTAAGACTTAAACGTAGAAATGGTATAGGATGAAAGCAAAAGAAAGAATCTAGAGCAAAACTTGAGAGGACTAGATAAAGCTAAATGTGCCCTGTTGTTGTGAACTTCAGATAGTCAGTATTTTTTTTCTTTTCCCTTAAAGTGTTAGTTAACGAGTAGGGACTTAATTTTCAGACCAATAAAATATTTATTTTTGCAACATGTTTCAGATACGAAGTAAACTTCTAAGAACACTAAATGGCTGACAAAAAAATTTAGCGATTTTGCGTGTGTGTTTGTGTGTGTGTGTATGTGTGTGCGCGTGTGAGTGAGTGTGTGAGTGTATGTGCGTTTGTGTGTGTGTGTGTGTGTGTGTGTGTGAGTG